CAAAACTTAAATTTAAGGGATAAAAAAAAAAAGTTTTCGGCCGAATGTCTTTATCGGAACCCGACGGCGTCTTTCCAAAAAGAAGAAGATGAAGAAGATTGAAAGGAAAAGATGAAAGAAAGAAAATAAGAAAAAAAAAATTTTTTTTTTTTTCTTTCTTTCTTTCTTTCATCCGAAAAGTTTACCGTGATCAATTGATAGGAAGAAAAAAAATGAAAAGTTTTTTAAAAAGGAGGGAAAAAGAGATTGCCACAGAAAAGAGAGAAAGAGTGAGAGAGAGAGGGAGAAAAAAAGTTTCTAAAACATTTAGAAACTTTCCAAAAAAAAAAAAAAACCCAACGGTTTGATCTGTTTTTAAACAAAATGCATTAAAAAAAAATTTTTTTTTTTTTTGGTAAAATAAAAACTTACGTACAGCAAAGCTTTAAAAAGCTTTTCTTTTTTTTTTAAATAAATTTAAATTCAAAAAAAAATTTATTTTTCTAAAGACACGACAAAAAAAAAATTTAATATAAAAATCATCAAATGTGAATCGATAAAAACAAACAAACGAATCGGTATGAAAAAAATAAAAATGGCGGATCGAATTAAATCTTTTGTTTTTCTTCTTCTCCTTTTTTCCTTTTTTTCTTATCATTACAGGTATGAAATGAGTGATAACGACAAAAATAATTTTATTTGTAATCGAAGGTACGTAGAAAAAAAAAATATGATGACAGCGTTGCCAAATTTCATATTGAAAAAATTTTCTTAAATTTCGCGCGTTTGTAATGAAGCAACAAATTCATTGTTAATATTATTATTGTTTTTTTGGGGGGGAGGGGAGGGGGCAAATTAGAATTAATTAAATTGTTGGAAGAATCTCCTCATGAGAATGAAATTGAAGAATTTTTTTTATTCATTACAAAATTTAAAATCCGTAAAATCATAACAACGCTGGAAAAATAAAAACTGGAAGTTTGGTTTCATGCACGGCCGCCTATTTAAACTATTTTTAGTTTTATTTAATTCATTCAACTGGGAATTTTCCAGATTTTCATTCCGACAGTACAAAATTATTTGAATTCGGGAAGAACGGGGGATGGGGAGAAGAAGAAAAAAAACAAACAAACAAACAAAATAAAATAAATTTGACTTCTGGAATGTTTTTCCTTTTTTTTTCCTCCATCTTGTAGTTGGATTCATTTCCAAAATGTAGACTTTAATTTATATAAAAAAAAAAAAAGAAAACTTTTTTGTTTGATTGGTAAAGTTTTTGAGTATAGAAAAAAACCGCAAAGTTTCATTCCATGCCACGCACACACGCACACCCACACACACACGCAAACTCTCCCGTACAAACAAACACTTTGATTAAAATAAATAGAAAAACTCGATTCTACTGGAGAAGTTAAAAAAAAACCACAAAGAGAACGAATCCATCCCAAAAAAAAAAGGTTGAAAACCTTTCGTTAGCAAAACTTTTTTTTTTCTCCAAAATCAAAAAAACAAAATTTTCCAAAACTCTGAAAAAACAAAAACAAAAAATATGGAAAAAAAACCTTCTTAAGAAAATGTGAAAAGGTGAAAAAAAAAGCAAAGAAAATTTCCAGGAGTACAAATAAAATATAAACCCTTTTTTTTAAACTTGAAAAACGTCATTTATGGAATTATAATAATAATAATGATAATAATAATAATAATAATAATAATAATAATAATAATAATAATAATAATAATAATAATAATAATAATAATAATAATAATAATAATAATAATAATGATGATGATGATTAAAAATTAAATGCGCAAAATGTTTCGATATAAACAAAAATGACAAAATATTTTTCATTATTTTACCTTATTCACTTAAAACTTTTCACTCGCGTTTTCCCCTCCTCCCTCACTTCCTCCTATCTTCCCTCCCTCCTCCTACTTCCCTCCCACATTTTTTTCGAAAAAGAAAATTAAGTCGAAAACCGCCGCCATACTTCCGTTTATGTTATTAACCGACAACATTTGAAGAATTGTCTAAAATAAACCATGCGTGAATGAATCAAAAAGTAAAATAAACAACAAAAGAGAGAGAGAGAGAAAGAGAGATATTTTGGATTATAACCTCTCTCTCTCTCTCTCTCTCTCTCTCTCTCTCTCTCTCTCTCTCTCTCTCTCTCTCTCTCTCTCTCTCTCTCTCTCTCTCTCTCTCTCTCTCTCTCTCTCTCTCTCTCTCTCGCGTTCATCATCCTTTTCTTAATTTTGTTTTCGTAAAAAGAAAAAGTTTAGGAATTGAAAATTGAAATGAAAAAAAAAAAATTTTTTTCTTTTTTTTAAAATCCTTTACGACGAGTTTTTTTTTCGAAAAAAAAAGCAGACGAAAAAGAAAAATAATAATAATAATAATAATAAATTAGATTTACAGAAATTAAAAAAGAGTTTTAAACAAAAAAAAAAAAAAACCTAAGCAACAGCAATTTTTTTTTTTTCGTTTCCCACGGCGATTTTACGAGAAAATTAAAATTTTACTTTTTTTTTTTTTATTCAACACAAAGAAAACATAAAAGGTTAAATTAAAAAAAAAAAAAAAAAAAAAAAAAAACGTGTCGTGAAATTTATTATTATTATTATTATTTGACTCGAAGGCAACAAGACGAAAATTTAAAAAAAAAAAAATGAAAAAAGTAAAAGAGTTCAACCTTAATCGTCGGTTCTGCGTAAAAAAAAAACTTTTTTTTTGTTTTCTACGTTCTGGAAAACGAATTCGCCCCTCCCTTCCCCTTCCCCTCTCCCCATTTTTCTTTTCTCATCCAGATTAAATAAATAAATAAAATTAATTCCAGGTTAAATTAAAAAAAAAAAAAAAACGATAAATACTTCCAGAAGTTGGGAGAATACGTACCTTTAACTCACCGCGGTCTGAAGAAAAAAAACCGACACTGATATTTGATACTTTTAATTTTCTTTCAACTTTATCATTATTATTATTATTATTATCATTATCATTATCATTACAAATCGGGTTTCCGATGAATTCCAAAAAAAATTTGTGACTGGAACAAAAAAAAAATTTTATTCTTTTTATTTTCGTTCCAGTTTGCCTTAGCAAATATTTTTTTTTCCAGTCGTACGATTAACCGCTTTGATATAAATTTCTTTTTAAATAATAATAATAATAATAATAATAATTGACAGATGTTTAATATAATCAAACTTATATTATTATTATTATTATTTTTTATAACGTAACCTTCCCTAAAGGCTCCTGGAGTATAAAAAAAAAAAAAGGTATCACGAAATAATTATAAAATCGATTTGTTTGTTTGTTTGTTTATCAACGCAAACAATTTGTTGTAATGATGCGGTAGCATCATTTAATTGTCTGTCTTCTGCTATAATTTTTTTTTTATAGACATTAAAATTTTTTTTTCAACACCTAAATTTATCTATCCATCAGATAAACATTTAACGAAGATATATCGTGGTTATAGATAAAAAAAAAATAGATGAGTAGATAAATTTAATAAGTCGATAATACGTGGGATAAACGTAAAAGTTATCAGGTGGCAAATGAAAATTTTATTTAAAAAAAAAAATAAACATTTTCAATATGGCGGACAAAAAACATATAAAAAAAGGGACAATAATAATGATGATGATAATTTCGTTATTATCGAAAAATAACCTTCCATCTACATCACCTGCTAACTTAATTTATTATTTGTATTTAATAATAATAATAATAATAATAATAATAATAATAATAAAATACCTAATCCGATTTCCGCCATGTTTGTTTTTTTTTTTTTTTAACGATAAAAATCAAGTTTTTAAGTTTATTAATAAAAAATAATAATAAATTTTTTTGTTTCTTAAAAAATTTTTATGCAATCGTTTATTAAATTTTTAATAAAACGAGAACATAAAAAGGAGCGACAGTGGCAGCAGCAGAAGCAGAAGAAATAATACCAACAGCAGTAACAACTACAACCGTAAACCGACAATTTTTTTTTTTTCTTTTTGGTTTTGCGGGATTTAAAACGTTTAAATTTCGTTTTTTTTAAAAAAAAAAAGTAAATAAATATATTAAATTCTCGTGACACTTTTAATTTGACTATTTACACGTTTTATATAATTTTTAATAAATTATTAATTATTAAGTCGTTCGAATGAATTTTATTTTATTACGTACGATTTATTCGGACGGTAATTTAAAAAAAAAAAAAATTAATTTTGTGTTTTTTGTCTAGTGCCACTCCTAAAAAAAAATAAAAAAAGAAATTTCATAAAATAAATAATAATAATTTAAAAAAAAAAAAACTTTTTTTTTTTATTGGACAAGCAAAATTTTTATTATTATAAATGATAATAAATTTTATTTATATTAAGGCCATAAAAATTTTTTTTTCTTCTGCTGCTGTGTGATGAAAACAAACAAAATCCTGTCGGTGCGTTTTAATACTGAACATGTTATCATATATAAAAAAAAATTAAAATGTGCGACAAAAACTCCAGGACGACGACGACGACGTTCTGGAAAAAATAAATAAATTTTTATTTTTATTAATAAATTCGATATTTCATCTTATAAAAAAAAAAAATTTTCCAAAAAAACAAATAATAATAATTCGACGTGGTAATAGAAAAAATAAAAAAATATATATAAAATCAGAATTTTTTTTTTAATGACGAAGTTTCAGGTTTAACCTGATTTAAGAATCGTTAACGTTATCATCATCATTAACAACAACAACAACAAAAAAAAATTTTTTTTAAATTTATTTAAATAATTTAATGAAAAAATTTGTACGTCAATTTTACACTTAATAAATTATGTACATTTATTAAGTAATAACGAACTTTTAAAAAATTAATTTCCTTTTTTTTCGGGTGGGGGGCGGGTCGATGACGTAACTGGTTTTTTTTTAAATTTCGATATTATTTACGCGAATAATCATCGAGTCTAGACGTTTTTTTTTTTTTTTTTTTTTTAATTACGGTAATAAAATTTTTATAAAATTACCTCACTAGCTTGAAGTTCCGGTTTGATTTTTACCATTTTGTGATGATGATGATGATGATGATGGCGGTGCTGCATAAGGACAACCCAAAAATTGATCTGATATTCTTCCGCCTTCTCTTAAACCACTTAAGAGAGCACCGTGTACTGTTGCCGGATAATTTCTCATTGTGTGCTCACCTGTAAACACGATGAGTGCGTCATCTCATTTTTAAACAAACATCACGTGATGGTAAACGAAAAAAAGGAAATAAGTGTACCGGCGAAAAATAAACGCGGAGGAATATCAGGAGATGATGAAACGGGTGCTGCCAACATGTCGTAATCGCTACCGGAAGCTCCAACGGCAACGAATGAATATGAACCTCTTGACCAAGGATCTGCTCTCCATCTGGTCACGACAGTTTCTTTCGGCTAATGGTTAAAAAAAAAAAAAACTCTTAACCTTTTCGTTAATGAATGATAACAGTCGTGATAAAACAATCACAACCGATTCGTACAACAATCGAATATACAAACGTTTGCTTGTGCGTGTGTGCGTGCAACCGCCGTTTAAGCGGTTTTGTTTTTTTTCAATTTCCGTTAAAATGCAAAACAAAGATTTCATTGAAAAGTGCACGCACACACACACACACATGTTGTCGGATTAAAGGATAATAAAGAAAAAAAAAATATGAGAAAAGTTTTTAGGCGTTTGTTTATTATACAAACAAACAACAAACTCTAGACACAAGAAGAAGGAAAAACTATTTCACGAGATATATATTTATTTAAGACGACCCACCGTGAATTTTATAGGCGTTTTGTAGCGAAAAATTCTGACGTAGTCGTAAAAATTAAAAAAAAAAAAAAAAAAAAAAAAAACTTGTCACAAAAAAACGTCGTCGTCATCATCATTATCATCGTCGTCGTCGTCGTTGTCGACGTTGTAAAGATGTAATTATTAAACTACGGTTAAAAAAAATTTGCCACCTCCGACATCGAAGATTAAAAAAAAAGGATTTCGCGACATATTTAATAAAGCCAATGACTTTTAGTTTTTATTATCCAGTCGTCTCTTATATTATCATTATTATTTTAATGTTTACTTTTCAAAGTATTCGTCATCGTAATATTATAATAAAAAAAAAAAAATTATGATAACACATACCTGAGGTACGGCAGAATTTCCAAAAATACCCTTTAAAACGGCAATGCATCTTCCGACAATGACGTCATCGCTAACATTTTCCATAATTGCTGCGGCTTCACCTGCTACCAATGCAAGCAGTACAGGAGCATGATATAAATTCCAAAAAAGAAATAATTCTCCTCTGCTAGCCGTTGTGCTTCCGACGTGTCCGAACAAATTCGATTCCGGATCCCAAAATATTCTATCGAAACATAAAACAACTTTGTTTAAGTTTCCAAAACCTAAACGTTCGATGGATGCAACTTTCCAATTAGGTAAGGACGGTATGAATTTAACGATGTTTTGTCCGTTGTTTCCTGTCGTCGAACCATCGTTCGATACGGAATGTTTTAATACTCCCAAGGGTAAAGTACAAAGTGCAACGTCACCCTTGAATGATTCCGTACCATCGTCTTCGTTTTTACCATTTGACGTCACGATTTCCACACCGTCTGGCCCGTAGTGAATTTCTTTGACAGCTTTACTCAAACGTATATCTAACCCTTCGGATAAAGCGATGGGAACGCACGAGTATCCATTACGAACTAGAAAAAAAAGAAAAAAAAACGTCTTAATCAGTGGTTTAGTTATTAAAAAAGGGAAAAAAATAAAAACACGTACACATTAATAAATCGATTTTTTATTATTCTACATTTTTTATTAGTCTTAAAAATGTCAAACGTGTTTATTTATTTTTGCGGTTCATTTGGTCTGTAGCAAAAGCAGACGACGATTGTTGTAATTTATGCACACATCCGTGGTGTGCACTCTCATCATAAACAAAAAAAAAAAACCAATGAATTTTTTTTTTCTTTTTCTTTTTTTTCTTTCTCTCCCCCCTCTCTCTTTCCCCCTCTCTCTCCCCCTCACACATACACTCTCTCTCTCTCTCTCTCTAGTTTCAATGAAAAATTTAAAAATAAAAAATATTAATCTGACATTAAAGAGAGAGGGAGAGAAAGAGAAAGAAAGAATGAAAAAAAAAAAAATTTTGTCCAGATTTTAAAAATAACTGGAGAATTTTTTATTTTTTTCTTGTTTTTTAATCTATGACTGGATATCGAAGAAGGCGGTCTGGAAAAATAAAAACATTCACTCCCAACTTCTTATGTGCAAACTCAAGGTGAGAATTATGTTCTTTATTCTCATTGGTTGAAATTAAGGTGGGACAAACATTTCAGGTTCCAACCGAAATGCCATTTATTTATTTATATATACATATATTATTTTTCAATACTGAACTTATAACCATTATTATTATTATTCGTTTTTTTTTATTCAGAGAGGAGGATTCTAATGAGCATTAAAAAAAATAACCTTCGAGGCTCAAGTTTTACTCACACCACCACTACCACCACCATCGCCATCATCGCCATCACCATCACCTGTCATTATCCGAGAGAATTTACGTTAACTTGAATTGATTAATTCCGGATCGCATTTTTATTTTCGATTTGAGTAAGGGGAGGAGGGAGTGGATGGGATAAGCGAGGGGGAGGTTCAAAATTATTTTCGGGTACATCAGAGCGGGAATGTAGTAAAATCGCCAAGTTATTATTATTTATTAATAAAAACGAGAATTTTTTTTTTTTTAATTCGAATAAAAGATTAAATTTTCGTGATTTTCTTATTTGATTGGTCGATTTTAAATAAGTTGCGCAATTTTTTCTTCTGCTTTTTTTTATTAATCATGGCGCTGTCGACATTTAATAAAATGATTTTCTGTCTTTTTTCATTTTCTTTAAAAAAAAAATATACAAAAACGAGCTCGCGATTCTATTTATTTTGTTTTATTAACCGTAAACAAAAAATAAAAAAAATAAAATTAATAATTTCATCATTGCGTAATATTATTATTATTATTATTATTATTATTATTATTATTATTATTATTATTATTATTATTTCTAGAATTTCTGTCGTTTTTATTTTCTCTCTCTTTTTTAAATACCTGACAAACGGGTACTGATAATAATATGTTTTTGATTTTATTAATTAAAATTTAAATACCGATAATTATATATAAAATAATTTTTTTTTGAGAGAGAAAAAATGTTACGTAAAAATAAATTAACATAAATTAATAATTCATTAATAATAATAATGATAATAAAAATGTTGTTTGTTTCATTTTGTTTATACTTGAATGATTTCTTATCATTCACTTAACAGTTTGAATTGGATTTAAAAATAAAAAAAATTTAAAAAATAAAAAAAAAATTATTTTTAATAAAAAAAAAATGAAAGAAAAAAAAATTTTTTAACCGATGATGATGCCGCCAAATAATAATAATAATAATAAACTCTATGAAGAAGAAAATAATAATAAAAAAAAAAGTTAACGGAAAAAGAAAAAGAAAAAAAGTTGAATGAAAACAAAAAAAAAATGCGAGAAAACTAATTAAAAGAAAGAAAAAAAAACAAAAATTTTTTTCTTTTCGTTTCGTTCTGTTTTTTTTCAATAAGAAAAGTCACGAAATAAAAAAAAAAAAAACATGAATCGAACAAACAAACAAACAAACAGAAAAGCGAAGAAACAAACAAACAAACAAAGGAATTTTTGTTTTTTTGTTATACTTTTTTTTATAATAAATTACAAAACAAAGACTTTTCTTCTTTTCTCTTTACATTCTATCTATATCCTATCACCCTTTACCCCCTTTCCCCCTCCTATTTCTTATCATTTATCTTTTTTTATCAACCCTTCACACGCACTCTCCCTCCCCAAATTCACCCCTTTTCTCTCGCGTTGTATTCTTTCACGGACATATTAAATTTTTTAAAGTTTCATACACGACATCGAACATCAGAAAAATCGTTTATTTTCCTTATCAATCATTAATTGATAAGAATACGAATGAGTCAGTTTTCTCCAGCTCCTCCTCCTCCCATTCCTGGAATGAATGAAAAAGAAAAAAAACTGGAAAAAAATGAAAAATTCGAGATTACTTATTTATTGTTTAAAAACCGTTTTAAAATTTTTATCATTATTATTATCAAATCCGGTGAGAAAATAATTTTTTTTTTTTTTATTCGTTCTAAAACACGAGAGAGGAGATGTAAGACGAAGGAAGAGAGAGAGAGTGGGAAAGGAAGAGGGAGAGAGAAAGAAGGAAAAAAGAAATCGTGAACTGGAAAAAATAAAGAAGAAATCAGATACCATCACTTTTTTTTCCTACGAAATATTTTTTTTCATATATATATTCGTGCCATGAATATTCCGATCCGCCATTTTATATTTCGCAAAACATAATAATAATAATAATAACGCGATAAAAAATTTAAAATTTAACGAGAGAGAGAGAGAGAGGAAAATATGAATAAATAAAAAATTATTACTATTATTATTATTATTATTATTATTATTATTAATTATTTAAAAATTTTACAAAATGGCGGACGAGTAAAATAAACAAAGCGGCGAATAATTATCGTACGTGCGAAATAATAATAATAATAATTTGTTTTCAAGGTCAGGTACGCCCTAAATTCCAATTTTATTTATTTATTTATTTATTATTTTTAGATTTACTTTATTTATTTATTTGTTTATTTTTTCTGGGGAGAAAAAAAAATAAATTATTTATTAAAAAAATCACGTCAAACCTGTTCGTCGTTTTTCCAAACAAAGAATAAGAAGAGAAATAAAGCGCAAACCTGGAATTTTTCTCTTTTTTTTATAGCGTTAAACTCGAGCTATAATTTAAATAAAATGCCAAAGCATGCATAAATATTTTACTATTTTATTGATTTTTTTTCTCCAAAGGGGGAAGATGATGGGTGGAGAGGGGGAAGAATGAAGAGAAACAAAGTAGGGTGGCGAGAGAAGAGGTGGAAAACAAAATGCTGGAAAAAAACTGGAGTGAAATTTTTATTTTAAATGTGAGAAAATTTTCGTCTCCCCTTTTTCTCTCTCATATCGTCTTTGAATGATTTTTATTCTTTCTGGAGTTTTCCAGTTTTTCTGGAGTTTTTTTTTTGTTTTTTTTGTTTTTACTTTTTCCAGTCTCTTCTGGAATTTTTTTCCTTTCCTTCTTTCGATACGTTTTAGTTTTATTCATTGATAAAGTAAAAAGAAAATTATGGCGATGAAATTTTTTTTTTGTTTCGTTACCGGAAATAAATAAAAAATTTCATAAAAAAAAAAAAAAAAAAACGTACCAGTAATTAATTTAAAAAAAAAACAATTATACGAAATTGGGTTAATTAAATTGCAAAGTGGTCAGACAATTCAATTAAATAATAATAATAATAATAAATTTTAAACCGGAAGTATAGAAAACAAAAAAAAAAAAAAGAAAACAAATTGTTGCTAATGGATTCTCGAATGAATTTTTTTTTTGGTTTTTGGTTTTTATTCTTTCACTTTTTATCATTTCATTTTTTTAAACGTGAAATTTTAACGTGTCAGCAGACAAGCAATTTTTTTTTCTTTCTTTTTTTCTTTCTTTCTCTCTTAGTATTTCAAACTGTCATATAAATATTAACTTTTTCTTTTTTTTTAAAAAAAAAATGTGGCAGACGTAAGTTTACAAAAAAAAAATTGTAGCAATAATAATAATAATAATAATAATAATAATAATAATAATAATAATAATAATAATAATAATAATAATAATAATAATAATAATAATAATTGCAAAAGATTTTGACAGGAAGTGAAATAAAAAAAAAAAAAACGTAACAGGAAATTGCACGAGTACTTTTTTCATTTTTTCTTTTTCCTTTCCTCCTACAAACCGAAGAGAAAACAACCAAAAAAAAAAAATATTATTATTTATTTAACGCTCTTTAAAACGTCGTGTCAGAAACCAAATGATAATAATAATATTAATATTTTATAGTCACGTCAAATTTGTTTTTTTTTTTTGACCAAAACGATTAAGTAAGAAAAAAAAACGGCGGGTGACGTGGTATCAGTCAATCTACCAAATGTAAAAATACTCGAATGTTTTTTTTTTTTGGTAAAGTCGTGTCTGCAGACAAAAAAAATTCTAAAAAAAAAAAAGGAAATGCAATAAGAAAACTGCAAAGATGACAACGAAAAAAAAAATGAGTAATAAAAAAATTATTTAGGAGGTGAGGCGCGGAGTAAAAAAAAAAAAAAAAATTTTTTAAACCTTCATTAGCGGGTCGTAAACCTGAAATGAGATTTCATTTCCACCTGCAAACCTGAAATCGTTTATTATTATTATTATTATTTAATCCTTAAAAAATTTTTTTTTTTTTATTACCGGTTGTTGTGTTGAATATTTTATGTACGTAATTTTTATGTTGAATATCTTTCATTCTGTCGAACCTTTTTTTTTTTTATGTCATCCTCACGTTCATTGTTTTTATATCATCATTGCACTTTTTTTAACTCCTTTCCCCTCCCCTCCCCTTCCTCCCTTTTTTGTATCGTAAATAAAATTTTTTTTTGAGGAAGAGGGGGAGGGAGAAAAATGGCGGAAGTAGTAAATTAACAAAAACAATTTTTACGTGCAAAATGAAATCGTTTTAAAAACAATAAAAAAAAAAAGAAGATTTTTATCAGTTCCCTGATAAGAAGTGACGAATATTAGGGTCAAAAAAAAAAAATACGATGGTAATGATGATGATGATGATGATGATAATGATGATGATGACGTCGACGACGACGATTCAAATAAAAATTTAAAAGAGGAAAAAAAAAAACAAACAAAAACGTATAGAAAAGTAATGACAAACGTGATAAGAATATATTCGTCGGAATTTTTATTCGTATCACCTTACATCCACTTACCTTTCATCTTCTTCCATTTTCTTTCTCCCACTCCCCTCTTTCCTCTACCCTCGTCCCCACCGACAGAATTTCAAAAATAACCTTTCACCGTTTTTCACCTTTTGCTCTTTCTTATATTTCCGCCTTGGAGCATTTTTTTGTTTTCTCTTTTAATACATTCGTCATTAAATGATGAATGATTTTAAACAATTAAATATTTTTTTTTTTTTGGATATACAAGAATTAATAATACCATTCAATCATTCATTCATTTTTTTTTTCATTCTCATCCATTCACTTTACGGCCATATTTTTTTTGAAAAGAATGAGGAAGTAAAAAAAAAGCAATTTATTAAGTTTTCAAAAAAAAAAAAAAAAATTTCAAACACGTTAAAAAAATTTTTTTATTTTTTTTTAACCTAACGAGAAACGTAAACAATTTGACAGTCTCGTGTCAGCAGAGTAAAAAGTTTTTTTTTTTTCTTTTAAAATATTTATCAGGAAAAAATTTTCCAGTTTTTTTTTTTTGGAAAAGAATTTTAAAAAGTGTTAAAAATGACATTCGCGTTAACAAAAAATTTAATTTATGTCGTCGTCATTTCGACGACCGAGATCGTAAACATTAAAAAATTTTAAATTCTGTTTAGCGTGATAAAATTTTCCCTTCATTTTCCCTTCGAGTTTGTTTAAAATATAAAAAGGACAAGGAAAAGGTAGGCAAACAAACAAACAAACAAACAAACAAATAAAAATATTTAACAGGTGTAAAACGAACCGTTATTCGCGTTTAAAATACAACCATCGTCACATCATCATCATCATCCCTCTCATCTTTTTTTTCTCTTATCTTTACGTCTTATCATAAATTAAACCACGCCTTTTTTTTCCTCCCCTCCTTCCACCCACCCCTCTCCTTCCACGTTTGTAAGCAATTAGTTAAAAATATCGTTGAGCAATTATTTAAAAAAAAAAAAAACTGAAAAATTCCCTCTCTCTCTCATTAGTGATTCCATCGAGTTACAAAAAAAAACGCCAAAAAGAATCCGCCGTGTGAAACCGTCGGAGAGATAAAAAAGAATAAGAAGATGAAGTGGAAGA